AAATTAGAGTCACACCTTTCCCCAGTTAAATGTTCTAAAATGGTTTGTGTTATTTTTGGAACATCAAATACATCAGCAACACAAACCCATGCCTTTAAGTCAAACCTGCCTTCTAATTTTTCATCATTGTAAATGAGCCGAGCAAGAGTTGTCTTGCCTAGTCCACCCATTCCGACGATGGGAATAACAAAGTCTTGTTCGAGACTACCTCCATCTTCTAGCAACCTCTGAAGAATAGCATCTTTATCACTATCTCGACCCAACACCTTGTCCTCAAGAAGTGAGGACTCAGGCAGTCTTTTTGCAATTACTCTATGAGACTTATCTTCAAGTTTCAAAGCCAAATTGATCAAGTCCAAACTACGCATCCCACTATCAATTTTCTGCAATCTACCACTTAGATCCTTCAGCATGGAATTAACCTCTTGATTGGGCTTAGCCATATTAGAGCTAAAAAAACGATTGACAGTAGAGGTGATTCTTTGTCGCTTGCTAGGTCTAGCTTCAGATTCTGCAATCAATTCAGACCTCTTAGCATCAATCACAAACTCTTCAAGTATGTCCTCCATGTCAGAAGCTAGGTCTCTAAGATCATCAAGAGATGACTTCACAAACTGGTTGACAACATGATTTTCTTCCGCATGTTGAAGTACAGCAGTGATTTTGGGCAATAGAATCTTCCAACTTTCCACCTGGGCAAGTACTTCCTCCTTTGAATTCCGGAGTTGATCACTTAGATATCCATTCAACTTTTCAAATAGCAAGTCAAATGTAGCAGATAAAAGAGAACCTCCAACAAGAGATAAGGCCTCCATTGGATGAAACAAGTTTTCTGCCAAAAAGAGAGAGGAATGGATTCAAGTACAATGTAGACTATTGAATACATTGCATATGTTTGACTATCATCAAATTATTCTTTTATCCTAATGGATTGATCTAATTAGTTTCACGTGTTTATATTGAAAAAAACAACATAAATCTAAGTATATATTATGACGCTGTGTTTGGATAAATTAAGGATTAAGAAGGGCTTTCATATACTATAAGAAGAAAATACGAAGGAAAAATGTCAAATGTCTATCTTAAATGATGAGTTTCTTTCTAATTTTTCGCCCAGGAGGATAACAGGTTATAGTTTGATTAGAGAAAAATTGAGGATTTAAAAAGGCGAGGCATTTTAAGAAAAGCATATAGTCTTGTAAGAGTCGAACTGTTGCATTGAAATCAAATACTTAAATTTCGACACATGGAAGGTGCTTTTAATTAGAAAAATAAAATATGAAATCTTTCTTCATATGAAATCCGTCATTTAAATTAGTCCAAACACTGAACCACACAACCCAGATGGAGTAACTAGTGCTGATGATATAAATGAATTAAGATGATACATATTCGAACCATTTATAAAAGAACTATTATTTAGATCTCGAAAGAATTGAAGAAGTAAAGAATAATTAGAAAGCAGTATATATATACATGCCTTAATTAGGTAGGCTGCAGCTGTTTCTCCTTTCTCAGTGTTCGATGTTCAAATCTAAGAGTTGTTGAGTTTTGCAGAGAGAGTTTAAAGAAGCAAATGAGACATTGGATTGAAAGAGACGATAAACAACAGTCAGCTGGAAAGAAAATTTAATCATCATATATATTAGTTAAAGAAAACTCTAATTAGGAATAATTAAACGCTTTAATGAATTAATTAAAAGACAGTCAATAAAAAGTTTTTAAATTAAGATATTTAAACAATATTAATTAATTCACCCAGGGACGGAGCCAATGAAGGACAAGGGGCGGCAGCCGCCCCCCTAAGATTTTGAAAAACATTTAATATGACACTCTAACTTCTATTTATTAAAAATTTTGCTTTAATAGTAAGAATTTCAAGAACTATTTCAAATGTAGAGAAAATATTTGGGATCTAAATAAAAGGTTTTCAAAAATTAAGGATATAATTTAAGTAAAATGAATTTATGTCAATTAATTAATTGAGAATTAGGGTTCTTAAATATTTTTTCATTTATTAATCAAAAAAAAAACTTTTATTATCTATTTAAATAACTTTAAATTTACAGTTGTCTTTAGTATTCTTTTATTTTTTTTCTTAATATTCTATATAAAGTTTAAAGTGTTTTCCTTTTAGCATGGAGGTATATCTTTACCTTTTATGATTGAATTTATAATTTTTTATTGTTATTAAATCAATCTAAATTGAAGTTAAATTTCTAAAAGAAATATTTTAGTATTTTTTATAATATTAGTACTTATTAATATAACCTGCAAAAAATTAAAAGGAAAACGTCAAAACTACATTGCTTTAATAAAATTAAGATACTTCCATTCTAACTTTAAAAATATGTTGTTTTTGTCTTTTTCAATTCAAATTTATTAAAACGATTTAATTTTATAGTGTTTTTCCTCATAATTTGTTAAAGATTCAACTAACAAACATATTTTTCTTTTTTTATTCATTCTTTAATTGATTATTACATAAATTATTACTATGATATTTTGGTTTTTATTATAATTAAAAAACTCATTTATTTCTATTTTTAGTTAAAAATACATCAAAAAAAAAAAACACAAATAAATCTTTTTTTATATATAAAAAAAGATGAATTAGTATCATAAAAGATACTATTAAAAACTTAAATCTTTAACAATAAATTTCGCCCCCCTATCCAAATTTCCTGGCTCCGTCCCTGAATTCACCTAATACTATCTCTCTGATTTGTTCAATATACTGGTATATAGAGGGATTATTCAATGTAATAAAAAAAAAAAGGGAAAAAACACACACACAAATAACGATATGAAGATATATATCCATCGAAAGATCACAAAAAGCCAAAGAAAACATGGGGTAAAATGAAATTTGAGTAAAAATAATTAATGTTGCTATCTATAG